AAGCTTACTCTCATGTTTAGAACACGTTCATAATTTAACAAGCAAAAAAAAAAAAAAAAAAGATTTTTGTTTCTTTTATGCCTCTTTCAATTGCTTTCAAAGCATACTGATGATAACCACAGTATGATAAGATACCAGTGATGTAAATTCTGTGTAGAGATTCCTAGGCCCCATCTACATATTATACTTTCAGCATGAGTAACCACACCTTAAGCAGTCACCCGGCCACACATTCAATCAATTAATGGCATGATAAAAATAGGAATAAGCTACGAAGTTATTCCATAAAATATTATTCCATATTTTATGGAATAACTTTTGTAGCTGGTTCGTATCATGCCATTAACTCAGGGGTGCATAACTGATTGTATCCAGCCCACTGATAAGTTTTGCGCAGACATCTCCGGGCAGCTGTTGGCAGTGGGGGAGAGGCACCATGTGGCCTGGGGGCTGGAGCCTGCACAGCAGCAGCTTTAACCCATGTGCAGCCACGGGGAGCCAGAGCCTGAGCTGGGTATGTGGGGGAGCCACTGTGGCACATGCTGCCGGAGCACATGTACTGCATGGCAAGGGCACTGGGTGCCGAGCTGCAGTGGCTGTTGGGGTGCTTTGAGCCAGAGGTGGTGGCTGGGTTGGTGCAGAAGGTAGAGCGGCTGCTTGAACTGCTGGAGGCACTGGTGGGCCTACCCGATTCTGAGTCAGAGACTCAGTCTGGTGGCTGCTTGAACCTAGCTGGGGCATCTGCTGTGGGTGGCATGGAGCCTGCATGGGAGAGGTGCAGCCTCTGGCTGTGAGATGAGTGGGTTCCCGTGAAATGGCTTGGATGTGGGGCAGCTTGTGCACCCTCCAGCCACCCTGTGGCCCACCCCCGAAGCCCGCCTAGCTAGGGGACAGGGCCAATGCATGGCCTGGGTGAAGCTCATGGGCACTAGGACAGAGCAAAAGTCACTGAAGACCCACTAGTACCCAGCACCTTCTCTGCAAGGTTGGGGGGAATGCAGGGAGCCCTCAACTACAGCTCCAAGGAGCTGTGCAGCAGGTGTCCAGAGGGCCAGCCCTGGTACCCAAGGAGGACAGCACGGGCTTGGTAGGCAAGCATGCTGATGCCTGTGCTGTTGGGCAAGGCCGGCAGCCAGGGCATGGGGAGCCTGGCCAGGCCCAGGGAAGGGATAGCAGTGCCTGGCTGGGTCATGGGGAGGACCTCAAGCTCCTACTCCTGCTTTTACTCTGGCGCCAGACCTTACTTGGCTGCAGGGAGCTCGTGTGTGCATGTGTTTCTGGTCCTCAACAGCTTACCAAAACTCATTAAGTAGCACTGCAGCCCAAATAACTGCCCAACCCTGCATTAAGTGAGAGTGTGGCCATGGGCCCCTGGGGCTGGGAACCACATCAGCTGATCAGAGCTATCAACTGGGGGGGCATGTGCACCCCCAAGCCTAAGAGCTCCCACCACAGGGGGAGACTAGGATTGGGTTCCCCTAACACTGGCAAGAAGGTGTGGTGGGATCTGATTCTCAATTCCACAATAATGCCTTCTGCCACACACCTGGCACAGCAGGAGGTACGACTGTGTGGATCACACATTAGATCCCATCACACCTTTACCTGCATGTGTAGAGGGGCCCTTATACGCTCAGTAGTAGCCTTAAAAGTAATACATTTTTGAGTGCTTCATTAAAATTCAAGACATACTAGCGTTAAAAAAAAAAGCAAAAATGGTGCAGTGGAATCTTTGCTTAGAACTGATACCTGATCAAAAGAATCCTTTCACAATCAAGCAGCTCTTGGTTCCCTACTCTATCACATTGATACTGAAGTGGGCATTAGGATTTAGGAGCAAGTCTACATCCCATTAACTGTTAATGGGAATTGTTATCCTTACTCAGGTACTTTTGAAAATTCCTCACCAGCCCTAAACTCTCAGTATTCTCCCCTCTCTAACTGTTAATTTATGGTCTGACAGAACATTTAGATGAAATTAAAATGAGCAAACAGCCATGTTGTTGGAGGATCAGTTATCTGCATGCATGCAATCAATCATTTGCATACAGACTGTGTAGGTGAACATAGCTATCAAATTGACACATGAAGTCTGGAAACACTTTAAAGTCTTTTTCCCTGTATAATTTCAGATTGTACCCCATAAGGGAAAAACAAAATAACGTATTTGTTCATTTTACAAGTCCCCCCCAAAATGCAACATACATGCAAGAGTAACACTATTTATAAAAATTATACTTAACCTCTTTGCAAAAATAAAATGAATGACTACCTCTAGAGAAAGGTTAGATAACTCAGGACGATTTATATTTTAAATTTCTTGTACTACAGAAAAAGCAGCAAAACTACTTACGTATGAGAGAACAGCTTTGACTCATAGTCTGTGAACAACTCATCAGCCTTACAGAAGACACAGCTGGAATGCAAGATGTTTTAAGGAGAAGCTTAGAACTTCAACCAGTCAACAAGGAATTCCTATAATTATTTTCATTCTGATTAATGAAAGCACAGATGACAATTTTATATAAAGCTTATTACATTTTTCACATATTCAATGACAAAATAAATGTGAATAATTGATATCCCTTTTTAATAAAATAATCTTGGATTCTAAGCGTATAAACTGGGTTCCTGAAGGCAAAAAGGGTCAGTTGACATGACTCCAATTGAATTATAGGTTCTTCCATATTTAAATTTCCTTCTCATCCCAAATAAGGGATGGAGATTTATCAAGACACCTACTCAAGAATTTTTTTATTTTTTTTTTACATACTTGTTGAGAGGAAGTCTAACAGGCCGCAAATGGCAGATAGTGGCAGCCTCAATAACTTCCTTTGAAGGGGGGCCTTCTAGGTTTTTGACAGCTTCTCTTACAAGCTTCTGGAACTTCTTCACTTCTTCTAGCTGAGATGTGAGCAGGTACTGAAGGCCTCTACAATCACGGAACCTGATAAACAACAACAGCAACAAAAAAAACAGCTAACTCAGTCTAATTCAGTAGTTTCACAGAGAAATGAAGCAAACTACAAACCCATGTAAAGCCCAAACCTGCAAACACTATCAAATGTAACACCTACTTTTACAAAGATTCCACCCAGTGAAGTCATTGAGATAATAATATAAATCCAAGATTTTCATGTTTCCAATATACAGAACTATCTTTGAAGACTGAAATAAAGTGGTTTAAAGGGGAAATGACACAGGTTTTGGAAATAACAACAATCTGTAAAATCATATTCACTGATACATCTCTGGCTATGACTAGTGCTAGACAAATTTTATTGAAAGGTAAAAGCAGGCCTTTACTAAACATCAACTGTTGAGTAAGTGTCCAAAGCCTGATCTTACTTTCCAGCACGTAGAAGCTATGATAGCTTAGTCATCAACAGAAGAGGGATAAAAGTTATCGTAGTTTAACTTACATTTACACTGGGGAAAAAAAACACATACACAGGCAATGACTGTAGAACAGCTGGTACGTAACAATATTCTATCCCCTTTTGCTCTGTGGTAAACTGTTCACATGTTTACACACTGTGGTCAATACTGCCTGAAACCAATTAGCATTTGATTTGTGTTTATTGACCAAGACATCCCAGATCTGTTGGTCTCAATCCAGTGCCCAGTGGACATGCATAGCTATCAAAAACCCACCATATTTATCACCCGAGTTGAAACAGGTAAAGCTTTACAAGGGTATGAAGCGAAGGTCTACTTTCCCAAAGCTAAATCATTGCTTTTGATCATCTCTCAAGCATGCTGCCAGTGGAGCATACAGAAACCTTGCACTGCTGATGCCTTTTCTGTAGCTATTCTTGGGGCACAGTGCTTTGAATACCAGGACACACAGCAATTTGGCACCTTTCCAAGCACTTTAAGTTACTTCCCCACCCAAGAAAACTTTTCTATCCCTAAGAAAAAGCCAGAAAAAAATCTTATGGAGCAACATCATGAGGCTACCAGTTTAAAAGATCAAGTTAAAAACACATATTTAGTTTAGAATTCCCTGACAAATTCAATGCTCATTCAAGAACATTTATGTTACCAACTGGATATTTTGGAAACACCTGAGCAGCATTCAAATTGAGCTAATGATGTAACCTCAACTGCCAAATATTCCAAATTTAAGAAAGAGATCCTCCTATGCATCTTCCATAAAGTCAGTTCATTACTCTATTATTATATTAGTACTCGATACTTTTGCCTCTGCATTTCTAATGAAAATATTTAGTGATTAAAATATTTTTCATTGAACAGGGTGAAGTATTTTACAAAGGAAGTATCATTATCCCATTTTACAGATGCATTAAACTGAGCCTGAGAGATTAAATGACTTGTCCAAAGTCTCAAAGCCTGTCAAAGGTAGACTGTTCTCTCAGAAGAACCACAGGCAGTGGTAAGTCTGCACCTGTACATACACAACTCTAACCCAACTTTTCCTTCTATCCATGTTCAACAGCAGCAAAAAGAAGTATCAGTCTCAAATGTCACCTTCTGATAGAGCTGTCTTCCCTGAGTGGAATTCCATAAGACAGAAGTCCTATCTGTGCCTTCTCAGCATAACTCCAGGTTTAAAGAAGGAAAGAAAGTAAAATCCTATATTTCTTTATAACCCTTCAATGAAATTACACATGTACTAAAAAATTAAGCACATGCTTAATGTTTTATCAGAGGGAAAGCACTCAGTATCTATCAGGATCACGCTCTATTAATAAATTACTCTGGATAAACAGACACTGGTTCTCTGCTGTATGTGAAAAATCACAGTAATGGAGGGCTAGAAAGTCAAAGGGTCACCTAGTCCAAGTCCCTGCTCAAAGGCAAGGTTAAGTATACCTAAAACTATCCAGGAACAGATGTCTGTCATCTTACAGTGACAGGGATTCCACAAACCCCTTAGGAGATGGCCTGTTCAGTTGTCAGCCAGTGAAATAGTTTGTAAGTTTTTCTTGGTATCTAATCTAAAAACATCCTTGTTCCAAATTAAGCTTTTATAAGGACTGTAGGGTAAATTGGTATTTTTCCATTGAGCATTGCACACTTAGTATTTTTACAGGCAGACATTCAGATTTGCCAGCTGTATATAGATGCCATGCTCCTGAAACTGAACTAAGGTTATTCCCAAGGATACTGAACATTAGACACTCAGCTACAGTCCACTCTACAGAATACGTTTGCTCCACAGGTTGAAATTAGTACAGAAGCAGCACTCTTGGGGTCTCAGGACTGTTGGTGTTTGAGGAAAGGATATAATGTGAAGGGAGTGACAGGTAGTAATTTCAAAAGAATTAAAAGTGGTACTGATGGATTCTAGTGGGAAACCTATCCATAACCCTGTGCTTAAAAAAATTCACATCATGAATGGGAAGCAGCAGGATTGGAAATGGGTGGACCACAACAGGGGGTCCAAAAATAGTAAGAGTGAATTCCTAGAGCAAGCAAATAAACTGTAATTAACATTTAATTATTTGCTCACACATTGCATGAACATGGAAAATTATAAAAATACAGTAGACAACACAAAGAAGAACATTTTAATGAATGCCTATCTAGGTGAAAACTGAAGTTCTCTCTCTTTTGAAGTTTTATATTTAGTTTCTCCTTTTAAAAATGCATATTTTAAAACTTAATTATAGCCCAGATGTTCTGAAGCACAAGTGCCTAGCATTTAATTGCATCTGCTAGCACAAACTGATTAGAAAACTCAAGCAGACTTAAGTGTATTAATTATGCTATTTTGTAGTTATTCTCTTACTTGTCTGCCATGGAGAGTTTATTCGTTTGCTGTTTGTAGTTGCTGGTTATCTCATTTTGCACACGCTGAACAAGCTCCTCATCAATGGCATATTGTATTGCTGTCTGGATTGCATCCAACCACCAAGGCGAACCAGAATGTATCTGTACACAAAAGAGTAAATTGATCCATGAATACTCAACAAGTACTCTGCTCACTATGGCAGAAGCCTTGACTGCTCTCTGGACCATACTCTTAAGCCCAGATTTGTAAATTTTACTGAAAGTAACTAAAAGATGAAGACATGGTTGGGAAGTACCCCTCTCACATTTCAATTAAATATGTGACTAGTGAGTATTTCCCAGTAAGTTTCCAATTACTTGCATACTCTTCACTTCCCCCTTAGATATACCTAGACTGTCTATGCAAGAAAAGAATAAAGGTTTGTAGAATGTACAAACGTTTGTAGAATGTGCAAATTGAAAAGTTTGAAAGCTTCCTTCTATGCTGAATAATCCCTTTTTCTCCTCCTCTTGGGCACAGACTAATGGTAGAAAGAGAAAAGAATAAAGGGCTTTTAAAGGAAAGAAACAAGTCTCTCTTAAAAATTAACAAGAAAAATAGCAAAGACTAAAGTATGCTTGAAAATTTAAAAGAGGATGGAAGTAAATGGAAAAAATAAGTGTATTATGTGCTGTTATTTCATCTTCCATTTTCTTACTAATTATATAAAAATGTAGCCTAATCAGCATTTCAGCTCAAGCATTTATTAATCCATTATTCTTTTATATCTTCCTGCAGCAGCTAATCTAACAGAGTGTATTAAAGTTATTGAGCTATTCTAGTCTAGAAGAACAGTTGCTTAGGAAATAAATGAGGCCCCATCTGGTACAGAACTTTTTTAATATAACAGTAGTATCTTCAAGGTCAGTATAATATTGATTCTTATCTTAAATTTCAAGAGGTGAGAGTGTAGGTATTAGGGATATGAAAGGTTAAAAGTTTAAACAATAAGTATATTTATACTGGTAATGCATTACCGGTTAACGTTTAGTGCAGGGCGGAGTCCGGAGGGGAAGGGAAGCAGTGCAGTACCTCAAACAGGAAATCGGCAGGGCAGGCAGGAGGGAGAGAGGAGAGAGAAGGAAGGGTGGGGGGTGGGAACTAGCACCCACAGCCTATGAGGTTAAAGAGGAAAACAGCAGGCAGCCTGATGACTCATCAATTAAGCAATTAACTGCTTGCTCACTGGTGCTCAGAAGCCAGATGGAAGGAGGTAACAGGCTACTTAAAGTTTAAACCAGTCCCCAACCTGCACTGCTTGCATTGCGTGTTTCCACAGTCCCAGCTTGCTGGAAAAGCCCCTTGCCTACTACTACAGCAACCTGGCTTCCTGTGGGCTATGTTGTCTGGCAGGGCTTACTGCTGCTCGGGTAAAAGGCCCTGGGGAGCAGTTCCCAGCAGCAGCTGTGTCCAACCAGGTTTGTGTGTGGCCCCTGGCTCCGCACAGTGCTCCAAGCAGGTAGCTGCAGCCCATCCCCTGTGCCAGGGTGGGGTGGGGCAGGGCAGACACTGGCCTGTGACTCCACACCCCCAGGCCGGAACTAGGTATGTGTTATCGGTTAACCATTTAACCAACATAAAGGAGGTTATTTTTTCAAAAATATTTACATCCCAGCTACTTTTTTTTTTTTTTTTAAATAACAACTGTCTCACTATTACCTTGCATTTTCCCCCATGTGTCTGCTATATCCACCTGTTGTATTATGCGCATGTGTGCGCAGAACTCAGTACAGTGGAGTCCACATTCTGACTGGGTTTCTTATTCCTGAGTGCCCTAAGTACCTGAAATTATCTATTTAATGCTTTACATTGAGGCCACCCAGGTAAAGACACCCAACTGTGCTAGGTACCACATGCACAGGTGACGATAAAGGAGATTTATATAAATAATTAGTAAACCAAAATTACAGGCTAGCTATATGAGAGAGACCCACCTTTCTCTGGAGCTCCCGAATGGTCTGCAGAACTGGCTGCAATGCCTGATGAGCTTCTGCAACTTCTGCATTGGATTTACTCATATAATGTTGTCTAAGTTGTTTAGCCTGTAAGTAAATAAGAGGGCAGATTCTGCTTTAGTTTTTTATATTTATGTAAAATAATTAAATACATAAAAGCTCTCAATTACTGTACTGCATTTGTTCAAGAATGTGGTTGATTATCCATGGTGTGTATGTACTTTCCTTCACCTGTATCCAAATGTAATATTTTTTCCCTTAAGTTCTTGGTAAGTTCACACAGTTCAATAGCTATTACAATACAAGCTGAGAGGCATATTGTTGTGATAAACTAAAAACACAGAAGAGACTAATGATTTCCACAAATATAGCATCTAGATATATCTAGTATATTACCAAAATAATTTTACCTGAACACACAAAAAGTAAAAAACCCTTTTTTCTGTACTCTTTACAAATTATTCACTAGCTACATAGCCACTACTGAGTCTGAGAATAACAAATAATTTTATACTTCACCAAAACACTTACTTCAGCACAAAAGTGAATTAAGGATGTAGAAGGGTTTACATGTGAATATCCTGACTTTTCAGGTATATGGAATAATGACTTTTTTTTCTTAAAGGTGATACTTCTGTGAGTGATAATTCACTGTGGCAAGTGGCAGTATGGAAATGTTATGGTTATCAGTTTATATAATTAGGTATGTCAATCTTCATCATGTCTCCAGTCCACCCATTCTATATGGTCTGTTCCCAATATTCTGCACAGGTCACTGCTTCTGGTGTTGGTGCTGCCAAATCTTTTGGGGTGCATTGTGGTGCTACAGGCATATCGGGAGATGATTCATGGTTTGCTTCTTCTGCCAGTCACATTTGTTGGTTGCATAGAAGCTCCATGATTTCACGAGAAAGTTGCATTTGGCAAGACCCACTCTCAATGTATGTCAATGGTAGATTAACATATACACTAATTCTCAAACATATTTTCCTCATGCAAGTGGGAAATAAAAAAGATGTACCTCCTCACACTATTGTGTGTGGTTTGTCTCCTATTTATCTTTGCTATCTGCATTTTGCAGTTAAGACTTGCTCTACTTTAGTCTGGCTGTTCTGAAAAAAGTATTGTTATAGCTATGAGTGGAGCTTAATCACCATAGAGAAGCTCAAGGATCCTTGGATGACCTCTTTGATCAGGAAAAAACACCTTAGTTTCCACAGAAAAGATTCCATTCTTTTTCCTTGTGTGTCTACATGTACAAAACTTTTGTGAGCCCATGTTCACTTCAACAGATATTGTGAAAGGACAGCATAGAGCAGACCAGTCACAGTTTCAGTTTAATAGTTTCTAGGGTCGGAAGGGGCCTGAACAGATCATCAAGTCTGACCCCCTGCCCTGGGCAGGAATGAGTTCTGGGATCAAAATACCCCAGCCAGACATCTATCCAACTTCCTCTTGAAAACCCCCAAGGTAGGGGAGAGCACCACCTCCCTTGGGAGTCCATTCCAGAGCCTGGCAGCCCTAACCATAAAGTAATGCCTCCTGATATCGAGCCTGAACCTGCTCTCAATCAATTTATGGCCGTTATTCCTTGTTATCCCAGGTGGTGCGCAGGGGAACAAAGCCTCACCTATTTTCCGCTGGTCCCCCTGGTGAGTTTATAGACGGCCACCTGATCCCCTCTCAGTCTCCTCTTGTGGAGGCTGAATAGATTCAGGCCCTTTAATCTATCTTTGTAGGGCCTGGCCTGCTGCCCCTTGACCGTGTGAGTGGCCCTCCTCTGGACCCTATCAATGCTAGCCACATCCTTCCTGAACTACGGCACCCAGAACAAGACACAGTACTCCAACTGCGGCCTGACCAGCACCACATAGAGGGGAAGGATCACCTCCCTGGACCTGCTTGTGATGCATCTATAGATGCACGACAAGGTGTGCCTTACTGACTGCTTCCTTGCGTTGGCGGCTCATGTCCATCCTGAAGTCAACAATGACTTCAAGATCCCTTTCCACCACTCTGTTACTGAGAAGGGTGTTCCACAGCCTATAGATATGTTGCAGGTTTCTTCTCCCTAGATGCAGCACCTTGCACTTGTCTGCGTTGAATTCCATCCTATTCTCATCTGCCCACCTCTGTAACCTGTCTAGATCTAGCTGGATTCTGTCCATCCCCTCCAGTGTGCCCACCTTGCCCCACATATTTGTGTCATCAGCAAATTTGGACAGTGCTTTCCACGCCCATCTCCAAGTCGCTGATAAAGATAGGACTGAGCCCTGGGGAACTCCACTGCCCACATCCCTCCAGGTCGAAAACAACCCATCTACCACCACTCTATGGGTGCGACCATTGAAGCAATTTGCCACCAGACTAAATGGCCTATAGTTACCCAGGTCCTCCTTTCACCCATTCTTGTAACTGGCCCTTTTCGTCCTCTGGGACCTGGCCAGAGCACCATGAGCACTCATACAGCTGTGCCAGGGGCCCTGCTATGACCTCTGCCAATTCCTTCAGTACCCTCGGATGAAGAGCATTCGGACCGGCTGATTTATACATGTCCAGCCCCTCCAAGAGTTCCCTAACTAAATCGTCCCTGACCCTAGGCATGGTGTCATGTCCCCTGAGCCTGTCCGTAATCCTACTGGGGGAGTTGTCCCAGTCCCTGCTTAGAAATATGGAGGCAAAGAACTCGTTGAAGAGATCAGCTTTTTCTTTTGCTAAAATCACCCGATTGCCAAGTCTGTCCTGTTGGGGCCCCACGTTACCTGGCGCCTTCTTCTTACTCCCTATGTATTTGAAAAAGGACTTTTTGTTATCCTTAATTCTGGTCACCAGCCCTAGTTCCATCTCTGCCTTGTCCTTCCTAACTACTGCCCTGCAATCAAGAGCAATGGAGGTGTAATCCTCCTTGGTGATTGCCCCTTGCTTCCACTGCTTGTATGCCACCTTTTTTGCCCTCAGGCCCTCCTGGATGCCTCTACTGAGCCAAGGGGGCTTTTTACCACTCTTGCCCCTTTGGTTTGCATTGGGACTGACTCCCTCTGAGCTCAGAGGATCGTCTCCTTAAGGAACAACCACCCATCCTGGACTCCCATATCACTGAAGCTCCGAGTCCCCAATGTCTCTCTTATTAATCTCCTTAGCTCATTGAACTCGGCCCTCCTGAAGTCAAGGACTTTTGCCTTACTGCTTGCTTTCACCACCCTGAGCCGGATAGTAAATGCCAGCAATGGTCACTAACATCTAGGTAGTCGAACACCTGCAGATCCCTCACCAGGTCATTGCCTGTGGCAAGAACCAAGTCCAGCAAGGCATTTCCTCTGGTGGGATTATGTTCCTCCTGGGTTAGGTGGAGGTCCTGTATGCAGGCTAAAAACCTATGTGAGCATTCAGACCTGGCTGACTGATCCTCCCAGCAGATGTCTGGGTAGTTTAGGTCACCCATGACAACCACATCCCTTGTCCTTACAGCCTCCATGAGCTGACCTGAAAATTCAAGGCCCAGCTCATCTCCCTGGTGAGGCGGTCTGTAGTAGACACCCACTATCAAGTCCCTTTCCCCACGACTCCCTTGTATTGTAACACAGTGCGCCTCAGTTTGCCCCTATTCTAAACCCATCCTAGTTTTAAGAGCTATACAACGAAAGTGAGTTTGCTCTCATATACCAGTGTAAAAGCAAGAGTGAATCCAATGAAGTCAACAGAGGAAGGGACGCTAGTATATGTGAGGACAATTGGACTTCTACTTGCCCCACTCTCCAACACTTAATCACCACCTCATTAATCCATTGACCAGCAACAGAAGACCTGCTCTTTTAGCTCAGGCTCGGGACTGACTGGCACAGCAGCAGCTCTTCAGAAAAGGATCTGGGGGTTACAGTAGACAAGCTGAATATGAGTAACCGTGTGCCCTTGTTGCAAAGAAGGCTAGCAGCATACTGGGCTTCATTAGTAGGAGTGTTGTCAGTAGGTCAAGGGAAGTGATTCTTTCCCTTTATTCAGCACTAGTGAGGCCACATCTGGAGTATTGTGTCCAGTTTTGCACCCCCACCCCATTACAGAAAGGATGAAGACAAATTGGAGTCTCAAGCATAGAGCAACAAAAACTGTTAGAGGGCTGGGGCACATGACTTATGAGGAGAGGAACTGGGTTTATTTAGTCTAGAGAAGAGAAGACTGATGGGGGATTTAATAGCAGCCTTCAACTACCTGAAGGCTGTTTACAAAGAGGATGGAGCTAGACTGCTCTCAGTGGTGGAAAATGGCACAACAAAGAGCAATGGTCTCAAGTTGCAGCAAGGGAAGTTTAAGTTAGATATTAGAAAAACCTCTCTAACTAGGAGGGGAGTAAAGCATTGGAACAGGTTACCCATAGAGATCATGGAATCTCCATCCTCGGAGGTTTTTAAGACCTGGCAGGACAAAACCTTGACTGGAATGATATAGCTGGGGTTGGTCCTGTTTTGACCAGTGGGTTGGAGTAGATGACCTCTGGAGGTCCTTCCAAACCCAATTTTCTATGATTCTATAGTGAACTCAGGACATTTTTTACTTAAGTGTGTCAAAACCCAAAGGGTGTGATTTTTGTTTTTGTGTGCTTCGGCACTGCTAAATTGTCCCCGCTAAATTATTGCTTCCTTGCACGGTGGAGTTTTCTGCTGCAAAAGAGAACCCCGGTGCAAGGGAGAATTTCCCGCCAATTTGAAGCTTTCTTTGCAGGGTGCATTTCTTTGTTGCAGCACAGAAATGCT